CTGCACGATATTAGGAAAACCTGCGATAATCGATAACAGTGCTTAATATTGCGATATCGATATTACTCACGATAAATGAACAAATACTAAAGTATGCAGTGTTGATGTCGTCTGGCGTGTGACGTCTGCTCTGGGTTCAAAGCAAACAAAAACTAATGCATGAATTCCATGACAACATAACATTTTTATTGCAAAAATATGCAGCTGCACCTGCTACTGTATTAGCAGCAAAACAACAAACTGCATGCATGCAGTTTCTCAGTGACTTTAAAACATCACCTCCACCATAAAACTTTTTCTGATGCTCCAAATACAGAAAAACATCCCTTACTAGGGTTTTTAGAATTAAAAAAAAAAATCAGAAAATAAGTTTAAATGTTAAATAATAGTTAACATCACTTATGCAACAGCAAATTCTCTCATTGCTACTGAACATTTTCTCCACTTATGTGGTTATGATATAAGGCTGTTGCTGCTATTGGGAAGTGAACTGTGCTGGGCCAAACTACATGGAAAATATGTGAAAACGTTTGTTTTTAACCCCAAATTGAACAAGTTTACCTGGATCTTAAAAAGCAGCTCAGATGATGAAACTGCAACTATGATTCTGATAACAAGCTAACAAATTGAACTAGCTCCTCTTAAGATAATCGGCTAGCAGAGCTTTTGACTGACAGTTTATGTGCAGCAGCAAATCAACTATCCTGATTAACAAGGTTACAAAAGCTCATAAATGAAAAATCACTTTGATGTGTGGGGGAACTTTTCCAGGCCCTCTTTAGCAGGGTGGGACTGGGAGGAGAGTGCTGTAGCCTTTTAGCTGGAAGCTAACCGGAGCCTGGGGCTGACATCACCACCCGGTGGAACACTAGCAACATGGAGGTAGGTGGGTTGGTTCACCGGCACGTGTCGGAGTCAGCCCGGTAAAAATGATTAACGACACCGAGCGGACTCGCGTTCACGTTTGAAAGCAGCGCTGATTCCAGAAACCTCAGCACGAAGTGCGTTCCTTACTCTGAGCTAGCATGACGAACAAGGGAACGGTGCCGCTAACTTTCCATCCTAAGGGTCTATGTAGGGGGCGGGCGTATTACGTGAACGGACCCATCTGATTGGCTGCATATCAGAAGGGCTACATTTGATTGGTCAAATACTTCCGCGTAAAAAACAGAGCTGGTTTACAAAAAGTTGATGTATGACATGGATGGAAATGTCGAACCAAACATTTATCGCCGTTTTTGACGTGCTTTGCGATGGGCCTATCGCACGTCCTGTTATCCCGATGACGATAATTTTTCGATATATTGTGCAGCCCTTCTAGAAAACTACACACTGCCACTTTAAAACAAACATCCTGCTCAGTTTACTGCAGCAAATGCCTGGTATTGCAGTCTCCTGGAGCCGCGGTATCAGCCCTTGTCACTGTTTTATTACCCAACACTGCAGCTCTACAGGTGTTATGTAGGGAAGAGTAAGTCTGCCGACCGTGAGTTAGGAACACGCGTGCACTGTCACAGGAATGTGCATCGCTCAATAGAGCTGTTTAAACAATTTGACACGAGTGACGAGGCTACTTTTAAACATATTTGTAATATTAACGTGTTTCTTATCAATGTTGTTCCTGAATGAGTGATGTTTTGGCAGATAAATTAAGTAAATGACATCAATTCTGAAAAAGATATAAATAATACAAACCTTAAAGGACAATTTGGATGCGTTTCTTTTTTTATTCTAATTTAATGCAGCTAATGTTTGCTGAATTATCAGATCAGAGCTTCAAACCAGAATCACCGGAGAAACAAGACATCATGGCGCGATGGCAGCGTAGCTCAAAAGTTTGGGAGCATTTTACAAAGACAAAAGAGAAGCACGTGGAGTGCAAAATCTGCAAAGTGAAATTTTCACCGGAGCACATTGGCGTCATGGTGGAAAACGAAACTTCTGTATGCTAATCACCTCTTGTTAGCTGATAACATCAACAGAGAGGTACTTGTATTCATAAGTGTAGCAACAACAGTAGTGATGGCAATTTTATTTCCTTTAGAACACATACAGATGTCACGTATTTGCTCTAATGTTACAAACGCTAATGAACTGTTTTATCCCGCTACGTTAGTGTTAAAAAAAAATTCCTCCGACAAGTTTGTTACAAAGCCAAACACGTGCACACTGAAGCAAGCTAATGTCCTGACCGAGGCCTTTTGAACAAGTTGGTCTCGGACAAGAGACCCCTGACCACGGTTTCAAAGAGATGATCAAGCAGTTCAACCCAGAACACAACAATAACTCTCTAACAGGCTGATCCCATTTCAACACTATGACGGAAAAGAAATATGAAACAACCTTTGAGAAGGTGTGTGTGTGTCGCTGTCTCTCTCTTTGTCTTTCTCTCTGGACACAAATAAAATAAGTAATATTAGAATTTAATCAAGAAGCTAACATTGGTTAAAGCATACTACCGTAAATCCTCTAATGCAGGCCGGTATTCAATTAAAGGCCGGGTCTCAAATTTTGGCCGGTGTCGGAGTCAGCGGAGGTGAATAATGGCCGGTCTCTTATTGTGGCCGGGTGGAATACGGCAGGGTTATAGTCCCCAAATCAACCAGCAGGAGGCAGTAGAGGTTCACACAGACCTTTATTAGGCTTTTTCTTCAACGCTTTGTAACGCTACAGACACGATCCTCTATCACGCTCCTACCACACAGAGTCACGGTGTCAGTTAACCATGCTAATTCAACCCACTCCATAGAACACACATCACCTTCCCTGTGGCTTACATAACACTCACACAACATGCAAATCAACACATAGGAACTAGCAGAACGATAGGAAACACATATAACACAATACCCAGAATGCACCTGGCTTACAACCCCAGCCAGGTCATTACACTATCAAGTTCAAAGAGAACGTGCTGATTATGCTGCAGAACACTCTGGGGAGCAGCAGTAGGGGGTGTATGAACTAGTCAACTTCACTATAGTGACTTTTTATGCCTGTCGTCGACTAGTCGCTGTCACGTGATAATGACCGGCAAGATGCAGCCCTCGGAAAAGACAGCAGCCTGCTGTCAGCAGGTGACAAGCTCCTGCGCTCGGGGGGGGGGGGGGGGGGGGGGTGACGCGCTGTGCCAGACCGTAGGTACTGACACGCGATCGTTCATGTCGGTTCATTTCCTTTAATGTTTTCTGTCTTTTATTTGCGCCTGATGTGTATCGCTGCTGTGGAGCGGGGCGCTTCACCTTGTCCTCCGACGCACAGACCACTGATGCGGCCTCCAAGCAGGGAGCGCTCCGCTGTTTTCGCGGTCGGTAGATCTGCCTCCTGAGCACGGCCACAGTAACAATCAGGTGTCGCCACCTCAAAAACTAATTTAACACGCGATCGTTCATGTCAGTTCATTTCCTTTAATGTTTTCTGTCTTTTATTTGCGCCTGATGCGTTTCGCAGCATGCTGTGGAGCGGGGCGCTGCGCGCATCACCTTGTCCTCCGACGCACTGATCACTGATACGGCCGCCAAACAGCGAGCGCTCCGCTGTTTTTGCGGTCAGTAGATCTTTTAGAACTGCAGTTCAAAGGTAACTCATGAGGTGAATATATATGAACCCAGGTAGCAGTTTTTCTTTAGGATTGAGAGGAGATGCAGGAAGATAATAAACAGACAGGACAGAAAAATAGTCAAATAAAAACAAGTTAGTTTTTGTACCTGGTGGTTGCAACAAACAGACACCATTGAAGGTAATCAGAAGTGAGGAACAGAAAATGAAATAATTATTTTAATGTTTAGAGCAGCAGGAACTCCGAGAGGCTGCAGGCGCATCAGTGAGTTTGCGGCCGCTGCGCAGGGGGAGGGGGGAGATGGCTGAAGCAGAAACTACCGTTGTTAAAAGAAATGTGTTTAACTTTGAAAATGTGGGCGCAATTTTAATTGTCAAAAACTCCAGCGAACCATTAGTTCATTTTGCTCAAATAGAAATAGAGGCCTGCCTCTAATACTGGCCCTCCTTCCAATAAAGGCCTGGAGCTTGATGAGCTTGAGTCAAATACAGGCCCGGGGCTGTATTAGAGGATATACGGTATATATTTTTCTCTGTGTTAAATCTTAGCCTACTTGATTTGATATAACTGAATCATTAATTTGGTAAATAAACTAACTTTTATATATGTTATCTTTAAGGTAAAGCAGACCTTCAGACCTGTCAATTGCTCCCTGACACTGACTGCTGATGTGTGGACCAGCTGTGCAACAGAGGCATACCTAGGTGTGTCCTGCCACTTCCTGAGTGAAGATTGTACATGGTGAGTGAGGATGGTGGAGTGAAAATGAGGGTCATTTCGCCACACTTGCACAGAAATTATTTAGCCACACTAAGCTGGCTGTCTTTTCTGTACATCCCTGCCACTTTCACCCCTTTGGAACGGATCTTCTCTGCAGCTGGGAACATCAGCTCTCAAAAGAGAGCAAGTCTTTCTCCAGAACATGTCAAAAAGCTAACTTTCCTGACTGAACAAGAGCCTTGTGTTGGAAAAAAGACTTTTAGCTGGATACATTTGTGAGTAATTTTTGTGTACAATTTATTTTTGGTTTTAGGGGCCTACTTCCATTTGACTGTGGCATTTATATCAACAGGTTACAAAGTTAATTAAAAGTTGTTTGATAAGCGATCATCTTGTCTTTATTATTAGATTGCACATAACTGATCACACTTCAAAATAGAAGATAATGATGGGTATATTGGAGCATCCTGCTGCAATAAGCTATACTTTTATGCATGATACGATTAGTCGATCATCAACAAAACTGGCGATTAGTCGAATATTAAAGTAGTCATTTGTGGCAGCCCTACAAAAGATGTTTCTGAGTGTCAAATATCTCCTCTACTTTGTTTAGCTCCAGGATCCTGCTAGGAGGTTCCATTAAAGGGACATCCTTGTTTCTTCACTCAACTTTATCCTCTCTTTAGAGCTATAGGGAGTACGATATGTGTGTTAAGCTTACTTTGTTGATTAGGTGTTCCGTTACAACTTCTCGCAGGCCTGTGTACAGCTTCTCTCCATGTTTGTGGAGCACCATCGTATATGCATTCCTGTAAAGTTCTTCAAAGCTCAGGCCGCTGTTGTTCTTCCTCTGTATTTCTTGAATGGCATTCTTCAGAAGGTCCCAGATACTGTTGACATACTTCTCATCCATTGTCATCTGCAACAGAGAAACCAGTTGTTTAAGGTATATAAAAGTAGAACCAAGGATCGTGTGACTACAGTAAAGTGCACTAATGTTGACCTGAACCCCTTAATCAATATGTCTAGAGTTTCCTACTGCAAAATAAACTCAAGGGCAGAGTAAATAGCACTTTGGTACTGTGCATGGGACACTTGTATGAGAGTTGTGGTGTAAAATGTGATATTTTGTAACTCTTCAACATATTTATTCACAGACATGAGAACATGTTTTACTAGACTACATTGGGGAGGGAAGCATTTGACTTCTTTCCTGTGTGTACAATAGAAAGACATGGTTGTTGTTCTGTCAATCATGACATTTAACGAAATGAGGTATTAGAGAAAGAAAGAAAGATGAAATTGGTTTGATTTTTTTAAAGCAAAATACATAAGTCCATAAAAGATACGTTATCATTTCACTTCATAAAGAAGGAGGATCAGGACCTAATGATGAGTTCAAAAACCATAAGCCACTTTAGTATCTGTGGAGCATAACTATTAAATAATAATAATAATGTATAGATATTCTAAACATAACCAGATCCTCGACGTTTCTAAGACACGAGAAAAAACAGTGTGTGCCTCTTCTAATTTGACAAGTCTAATACTAAATACTTGTATATGACACAACCTTACTGTGAAAACTGGGTCATACATTTATAGATCTTTACGGGCTGAATCTACGGACCAGCAGAAGCGAATGTCACCAACACAAAACCTTCAATTATTCGGACTTCCAAACAAACATGTAACCCACCCACTGGCTACATCTTCACCGTCACAACCTACCTAATGTGTGTTAGAGAACAACGTCAATCTAATGAGATTTATAAGCGATCTACAGACAAAGTAACAAAAACAAGTAATAAATAATAAGAGCTATTCTTCCCGGTTGTAACAAGCACAACTGGGTTAGCAAATTGGGCTGTTAGCTCCCATTTCTAGTTGTAGAAACACTGTCAGTCGTTTATAAATGCTTTCTAAACCGAATATTGGAGCTGGTACAATTATACATACTCAGCACAATAATAAAAATAATATTCTAAATGACAATCAGTCAAAACAAGTGCCAAGAAGAGCGAGTACTTCTGCTAGCGTCGGCTGTGTAGACAGCTACCGTCTACGGAAAGCTTGCATTTATTGAAACGTAAATAATTAATAAATGGACTTCGTAAACTTTTACTAATGTTTGTTTTACGACATAATGGACACCTAAACCAAATACAGCAAAAAGAGGCAACAGAAGCTTCAACGGCCACACTTTGTTTACAGATGGCAAGTCATATTGACCGCTCCTCCGCTAGTTAGCGAATTAGCGTTTAGCTAAAGGCTGAAACCACGGTGATCGAGTTAGAGCCCGTCCGGCACGCGGTGCTCTAAAAGCGGTGTGCACTTACAGGAAAGGCCCGTATCCTCATTTTGGTGTCCTTTTTGGTGCCGCCTTTGCTGAGATTGGACATGGTTTCCTCGTCCGTATGGTCTGTATTCACATGAAAATGTACTCCAAGGAGGGGCAGTAGCGACTACTGGTTTGAGGAGCTCCAGGCGGGCTTACTCGACCTCCTCCGCGTCCCGCAGCTCAAGCTTATTGTTGACGGCCAAACACCAAGCCACGGGAGCCCTCATCCAGCAATGGCGAAATACAGTTCTCACTGCTCACCGCTCACGCTTCCTAGCAACGCGAGAAGTCCATTAACAGATAAGAACTTCTACTAAGTTATGTGCGGATAATTAAGTCATACATTGGAATTTTAAATTATTCAGAAATGATCAATTTCTGTATCTTAAAAAAGCGAGTAGGATGTGTCATTTTCAATTTCAAACAAACACCACTTTTATTTCTGTGGCACATGTCATAACTCAACATGAGAGCTTATTAAAGTGCTGTCAATATAACAATATAAAAAAATAAAAGCATTAAAAACAATAAAATGCAATTAAGAAAGAAGAAGAAGAAAATAACATTTCTATAGCGCCTCTCAAGATAAAAATCACGAGGCCTCGTCTCTCGTCTTCCTCCGCTTATCCGGGTCCGGGTCGCGGGGGCAGCATCCCAACTAGGGAGCTCCAGGCCGTCCTCTCCCCGGCCTTGTCCACCAGCTCCTCCGGCAGGACCCCAAGGCGTTCCCGGACCAGATTGGAGATGTAACTTCTCCAACGTGTCCTGGGTCGACCCGGGGGCCTTCTGCCGGCAGGACATGCCCGAAACACCTCCCCAGGGAGGCGTCCAGGAGGCATCCTGACCAGATGCCCAAACCACCTCAACTGGCTCCTTTCGATCCGGAGGAGCAGCGGTTCTACTCCGAGTCCCTCCCGAATGTCCGAGCTCCTCACCCTATCTCTAAGGCTGAGCCCGGCCACCCTACGGAGGAAACTCATTTCGGCCGCTTGTATCCGCGATCTCGTTCTTTCGGTCATTACCCAAAGCTCATGACCATAGGTGAGGATTGGGACGTAGATCGACCGGTAAATCGAGAGCCTGGCTTTCTGGCTCAGCTCCCTCTTCCCCACGACAGATCGGCTCAGCGTCCGCATCACTGCAGACGCCGAACCAATCCGCCTGTCGATCTCCCGATCCCTCCTACCCTCACTCGTGAACAAGACCCCGAGATACTTAAACTCCTCCACTTGAGGTAGGACCTCTCCCCCGACCCGGAGGTGGCAAGCCACCCTTTTCCGGTCGAGAACCATGGTCTCAGATTTGGAGGTGCTGATCCTCATCCCAGCCGCTTCACATTCGGCCGCGAACCTACCCAGGAAGAGCTGAAGGTCAGAGCTGGATGAAGCTAGGAGGACCACATCATCCGCAAAAAGCAGAGACGAGATTCTCCTGCCACCAAACTCGACACACTCCACACCACGGCTGCGTCTAGAAATTCTGTCCATAAATGTGATGAACAGAACCGGTGACAAAGGGCAGCCCTGGCGGAGTCCAACCCTCACTGGGAACAGGTCCGACTTACTACCGGCTATGCGGACCAAACTCACGCTCCTCTGGTAAAGGGACTGAATGGCCCTTAACAGAAAGCCACCCACCCCATACTCCTGGAGCGTCCCCCACAGGGTGCCCCTGGGGACACGGTCATAAGCCTTCTCCAAATCCACAAAGCACATGTGGATTGGTTGGGCAAACTCCCATGCCCCCTCCATCACCCTTGCAAGGGTATAGAGCTGGTCCACAGTTCCACGGCCAGGACGAAAACCACATTGCTCCTCCTCTATCTGAGATTCAACTATCGATCGGACCCTCCTCTCCAGTACCTTGGAGTAGACCTTTCCAGGGAGGCTGAGGAGTGTGATCCCCCTATAGTTGGAACACACCCTCAGGTCACCCTTCTTAAAGATGGGGACCACCACCCCGGTCTGCCACTCCCTAGGAACTGCCCCCGATGACCACGCAATGTTGTAGAGACGTGTCAACCATGACAGCCCTACAACATCCATAGCCTTGAGATACCCAGGACGAACCTCATCCGCCCCCGGGGCTCCGCCGCTGTGTAGTTGTTTGACTACCTCAGCAACTTCTGCCCCCGAGATCGGACAGTCCATCCCCAGGCCTCCCAGCTCTGGTTCCTCCTCGGAATGCGCATTGGTGGGATTGAGGAGCTCCTCAAAGTATTCCTTCCACCGTCCGACTATAGCCTCAGTTGACGTCAGCAGCTCCCCATCCCCACTGTAAACAGTGTGAGCGAGTTGCTGCCTTCCTCTCCTGAGGCGCCGGACAGTTTGCCAGAACCTCTTTGGAGCCGATCGATAGTCTTTCTCCATGGCCTCACCAAACTCCTCCCACGCCCGAGATTTTGCCTCGGCAACTGCCACTGCTGCACCCCGCTTGGCTATCCGGTACCTGTCTGCTGCCTCCGGAGACCCACAGACCAGCCACGCCCTGTAGGCCTCCTTCTTCAGCCTGACGGCTCCCCGAACCTCTGGTGTCCACCAGCGGGTACGGGGGTTGCCACCACGACTGGCACCGGCCACCTTACGACCACAGCTAGCAACAGCCGCCTCGACAATCGCAGAGTGGAACAAGGCCCACTCGGACTCAATGTCCCCCACTGCTCTCGGGACGTGGTCAAAGCTCTGCCGGAGGTGGGAGTTGAAGACCGTCTTGACAGGTTCTTCTGCCAGGCGTTCCCAGCAGACCCTCACTATGCGTTTGGGTCTGCCAGGTCTACGCGGCATGTTCCCTTGCCATCTGATCCAACTCACCACCAGGTGGTGATCAGTTGACAGCTCCGCCCCTCTCTTCACTCGGGTGTCCAAAACATACGGTCGCAGGTCAGATGATACGACTACAAAATCTATCATCGACCTGTGACCTAGGCTGCCCTGGTACCAAGTGTACCGGTGGGCATCCTTATGTTCGAACATGGTGTTCGTTATGGCCAAACTGCGGCTTGCACAGAAGTCCAATAACAAAACACCGCTCGATCACGAGGCGCTTCACAAAAACAAAACAAATGTTAAAATATAAAAAAGCATTTAGAAAATGTTTAAAAATATATGTCAAATGAGCAAAAATAGGAAATTGGGATTTAAAAGAAAAAATGTTAAGAAAGAGAGAGAGTTAATAGAAAGAGGGAAATTAGTGGATCCTGAGGAAGGTGGAATAGGTGGGGAGAGCGGAATAAAGAGAGAGGGGATGAAGGTCATACAAAAGTCAGCATGAACAAGTGAGTCTTCAGCTGCTTTTTGAAGGAGACCACTGAGTCCACTGATCTCAGACTCAGGGGGAGAGAGTTCCAGAGTCTGGGGGCCACAGCAGCAAATGATCTGTCACCTTTGGTCTTTAGCCTGGTGCGCTGCAAAACCAGTAGGCTTTGATCACTGGACCTCAGGGACCTGCTGGGGGTGTAGGGACTAAGAAGATCACCAATGTAAGATGGTGCTTGTCCGTGTAAGGCCCTATAGACCAGAACCAGGATCTTGAAATGAACCCTGAAGTTGACTGGCAGCCAGTGAAGCTGGAGGAGAAGCGGGGTGATGTGGGTGTGTTTGGAGGACTTGGTCAGAAGCCGAGCACAGGCATTCTGAACCACCTGTAGACGGTTAAAGAGTCACTGGCCAAAGGCCAAGCTATAAAAGTAGGGTTTTAAGCGAGATTTTAAAACTGCCTACCTAATTGTAATGGGCAGAGAATTCCAGAGCATTGGACCAGCGTGCACAAACATCTGTTTACCGAGTGACTTGTCGGCGATACGGGGTGTAACAAGACACAGCAGGTCAGCAAACCTCAACACACAAGCTGGTACTTAGGAAGTAAGTAGGTCGGATAGTTAAAGGGGTGCTAAAACGTTTAGGGCTTTGAACATAAATTAACCTTACACGAAAGGTGATGGGGAGCCAATGGGGATGCGCAAGAACTGGGGTGATACGGCTACGTCCATTTGTGTTATTCAAAAACCTAGCAGCAGCATTCTGAACAACCTACAAGGGGGACTGCGGGGGTCAAAAAGGATAGACTTAGTGTTTGACTTGTTTAGTTTGAGTATGTTGGCAGTCAGTCAGCCCTTTACATCAGCCAAGCAGTTGGAAAGTTGAGAGCCTGCATTTTGATTATTCAATACTACAAAGATCTGGCAATCATCAACATGAATGTGATCACTGAGACCATGATGTTCCATGATTTTGCTCAGATCGAGGCAGGAGATATTTGGAGAACAGCAGAGTCCCAAGGACAGAGCCTTGCTGCACACCGCATGGCAGTGGAAGACAGGGAGAGGAACAGTCTCCAATCTGAACAGTGATGGATCGGTGTAGGAGTGGAACTAAACCAGGGTAGTTCCCACCAGCTCGCAAGACCCCAGTTGGTCCAGCAGAATAATATGGTCGACTGTGTCAAAGGCTGCACAAAGAACAACAGTACCTGAGACCCAGAGTCAGATACCACTAACATGGCTTTCAACACCCTAATAAGGGCAGATTCAGTTCTATGGTGGCCTGAACACAGACTGAAACACATCCAATAGTGAATTGTTAACAAGGTGTGCAAAGATTTGAGTATGAACAACCTTTTCCAAAATCTTCTAAAGGAAAGGGACCTTCCAGATGGGGCAGAAATTCTTTAAACTAGAGTGATCCAGACAGTTTATTTTTTTCAATATTGGCTAAACAACCATGTTTTAAAATCCATTGGAAACACTCCAGCGGAGAGACTGGTGTTAATAATGTTCATAAGGGCTGAGCCCAAAATAGTCATGCATCATTTAGGTGGGATACAATCCCCAGAAGAGCAAGTCGGCTTTAGAACAAATCAGCTTCACGAGGTCAGGAAGCAGGACTGAAACAAAATCTGAGAAAATACATCGAAGTAGATAAAGCGGAGGGCAAAATAAAACAGATCAGGCCTAAAAACTATCTTTAACTGTTAACATTATTTGAAAGACAAACCCAGTAAATACTAGAAATAGGACCTCAAAGATGTAGCTATTATAGTTCAGGTTTTCTGCAAATGTCTGTATGAGTCAGCTTTTCAGAGCTAGAGTACAGTTTTAAAGTTGTAAAACAGCTGACTTGATCTATTTTATACAAATGGGTGCAGATTGTGTCATACAATGTTAGCTCATTGTCAGAACATCTCATTTAGAATTGTTTTATACTAAGTTGTTTATCAAAACACTGGTTTCTCTCCTTAGTTTAGTTTTTCATGACTGATTCAGAAATTAGTGTTAAAATATAAAAATAAAGTGAAAATGAGCACAGGAAGCAGTCAAATTTCAAAAAGAATCTTTCAAAGAGCTTCAGAAAACCTTGAAAACTATTGATCAGGACCACTCTGAATGATAAGACCACTGCTTATTGTACTTTTTCCTCCACAGTTTGTACTGTTTTCATTGAATTTTATATTTAAGCACTATTCATGTTTGATGTAATGGTCCATCAAAGACTTTGTAAAGAAATATATACTCACATTGTCCTAGTTTGATTCAAAGCCACTTATATGAACATGCAACGTGAAGTTTCAAATTTAGCAGAATCTGATGGTTGAAAGTGATGGTTCAATGCTCAGACTGGACCTCCTCCATCTTTTTACTTACTAAGTAGTCACATTATACTTATAAACAATGTAGAAACATACCTTTATGCACGCATTCAGTTCTAGTTTGACTTAACAGAAAATAAGAGGTTATTTAAATGTTTCATATAGAATAGGAACTGAAGTATGACTTCAACATCTAATCATTTTATTGCATAAAACAAATAACAGTACTATAATTATGTCTTCTCAGTGGTGGTCAGGCTTAACAACATGTTAAGGTTGTTTGTAAAGATAGTTTCCTGAATTCCTAACTGTGTTGATCACTCAGTTGGCTTCTGCTACTAGTAAAAAATGTTAATTGCATAACAAAAGACTCAATGGTTTTGCTTCAACTAAACAGGAAAAGAAAGAAGACTTAGCAGCTCTGACTGTTTTAGATTTTATCTCCAGGGTTCGGATGTTTCTTGCTTCTACAGAATGTGACACGCGGTGATCGGATCAGCAGAGATGCCGCTGTGATGACTGAATCAGTCTCACCAGAACCCAGACGGATGACTCCAGGCAGCCGTGTGGTCTGTCATGAGCGAGTCCTGCAGCACACGCTCACATGTACACACAACAACCAAACCACCTTTCACTAGATTTATTTCATGAAATTAAAATAAAAAGTCACCCATTTGTCTCTTTCTCATCAGAAACGTCCACGTTGAGTACAAATGAGGGAGAACAAAGACCACCAGACCTCAGAATCCAACAGAACCGTTAATAAAAACACGACCCTCCACCATTAGCATTTGTTATATTTATGGTGAAATATCACCTGTACATCCTCAACATACACACGTCATTTTCTCTCATTCCCTCTTGAAGTTGTTCAAAAATGGCTTAGAAAAAACAGAAAGCAACCACCTTTAAATACATTACAGAATCGAAATACAGTACTTCTAATTGTAATGACAGACGACCCAAAACTTATTCCTTTAAGACTTTGTTATTTACAGCAAATATATTCTTAAATCTTTCAGCAAATAAGTCACAGGTGATCATTACACGGACATGACATCACAGGTTAGAGTCCCACTGTGATGAGGAGAAAATACAGTAGATTGGGTTTGAGCCTCGTGGACAAGCTGCCTCAGTGGATCAGACAACAAAAAGCCCATCCACCTTTAAACTGTTCTGTCACGTCTGCAGCTTGTCCAGGAAGTAACAGGATGTCTGCTTGGCACATTTAGCCCTGACTCTCTATAACAAACATTACAGGACAGATATACACACTCATTATAGAAAACTGTCAAAGGTCTGAAATCTCAAAAGCATTTTCAAACTAAAATAATCCACTACACTTCTTCTTTTTGAATGATTCAACTCAAAAGCTTTTGGCAAATCAGACCTTAAAGCAATAATTTTACAATAGGCATAGGTATTTAGTAAAATCTATTTACATATGTATCTATGCAATGTCACAGAGGCAAAAACTTGATATTGCACATGAAAAAGGCAGGTACATATGAAAGGTGATTTAATATTTATAGAAATGGGAAAACAAGTGAGAAAAAATGGTTTAGAAGGAAAAAAGAGTGGCTTTTCTTTTTAATTTACTTGTATGCCCTTGAAAACGTAGAAGTTCATGAAGCATTTCAAAACCATTTCATCCAGCCATGCTAATGAAAGTCCAACCAAAGTCAAACCATCAAACCATTAATGGACCAATGGACCTCATGAGATCTATTGCAAAAACAAATCCTGATTTCATTACTTTTGTTTTCCTGCGTTTTATGAAAATTGTTTGTGCTGCAGAAAAAAAGACAGAAGATGTAAAATAAATAAATTTAGTAAATAATTGAGGTCTGTGCCAGGTCTTTTTCTTTCCTCTTCCATTTTCTCTTCTTCTTCTTCTTCATCAACACACACACACACACACACACACACACACACACACACACACACACACACACACACACACACACACACACACACACACACACACACACACACACACACACACACACACACACACACACACACACAACTCTAACTCTGCAGCATTTTCTTAGTTA